GGAATATGTTGGGGCTATATAGGGATAATGGAAAAGAAAATGGAAACTATTGGGATTATAGGGGTTCTGTAGGGGTTAAAGATGACAGGTATCTTACTGTGTGGCACTAGGGCATTGGAGAATATGTTCGACGAGGCTGATCCAGCCCCTCTACTCCCCTTTGCAGACCCCAGTCGTAGTAACCCCATCCCTCCTTCAGTGGTGGGCAGCCGAGCCCAGCCCCACCCATCCACCATGAGATTCCAGGACTTCCCAAGGCTTGATGGCTTGGGAGTATGCGGCAGTGAGAACCGCCCCATCCTCATACAGGTTACAGTGCTGGGATGCATGGGGTTAAGCGCTTCGGGCTTACGTGCACCACCTGCCCCGCCCCCGGCCCACGTATGAGTGAGCACCCGCTTTCTGTGCACCCAACAGCCGAGGCGGGTGCGCCATGGTGCTTACAACTATAGAGGGATGATATAGGGATTACATTCCATCATTCCTTACTAACCACCAGTAAGGTAATCGCTGAAGCTGCTGTACGTAGGTTATAAGCCGGCTGTAATCGATGAAGATGATGTTTGGCTTCCACCAGTTTCTTGACTAGGGTACAGAGTAGGACATGATTGGGTGTTCACGAGTGCACACGAATTACATTGATTGGGAGCCTCCGCTGCCGCTCTCTTCGCAGAAGGTAAACGCTAAACCTCAAATCCTAAACCCTGCACCCCAAATGAGCTATAGTCTAACTCCTTAAAAGGGTTAAATAGGGAATTATATAGGGAACTACTATAGGGGTTACTAAGGGGGATACTAGGAGTTTAGCCTATAGCCCAAACCCTACGGGGAAGGTTGCAGTTCAAGCCGAAAACTGTACTGAAAGCCCAAGTGTAAGCCCCCCCTGCGCCACCGCGGCATGGCTACAATGGGGGTTCTAGCTGATCACACTGAACCCCCAAGTAACTCTTTGCATTGGTGTTGCCTTAAACCCTGAACCCTAAACCAGCCCTCAACTACAGTGTTGGTATTTAGTTAGGCACCCATGTGGTATGTGTCGTCAGTTTGCCTTCAACAAAGATACGAAGGTTTCCGAAAACTTGGGGATCCAATCTGGGGCTCACACGGGCTCACCAAAGCAAAGATTATAGCACCATGCAACTTTCCAAAAACTCTAACCCGTGAACGGTGCCAGTGCAAATCTAACCGTGGTACACCAGAATGCACTATAGGAATCTCGGTTGAGCCGCGTTGAGCTTCACTGCAAATTAAGATCTTCGCTGGTTCCCTGTAGAGCTGGGCATCACACGAAACACCTGAAGCCCGTCCTAGGAATCCAGGTAGGACCTAAACACCTATGGTAGTCCCGAAGTCCTAAATCTCTTGATTATTTTTGGATGCCTCTTGTTCGGATCGGTCTCCTTCGCTATGCGGCGAAAGATCTCCTGGCAAACAAAACCACTTGCAAGTTTTTAGCACTTTCCCAATCAAGCAATGAGAGACAAGTACACTCGGAAAAAAAAATATATCAATTCTGAGTTTAGCCTACTGGTTCTTAGTAGGGAATGAGAGAATATGATACCTATATAGTCCCTACAAAATTTATTCTCTTACTCCCTACTAAGAACCAGTAAGTTTGGGAGATACTTGAACTCATGCCTCCCTGGTTTTCCAGGAGTGACAGGAAACCCCCCAGATCCAAAAAGAAGCAACATCGTCTGTTCGTATTGGATCCTGCCCTATAAACCCTATACCTTACTGGTGGTCTGTAGGGAACAAGGGGTTTTACTCCCTATACAATCCCTGTTATATACCCATATACACATATATATATATATATATATTTCCTTGTGGGTGCCTTTTGGGGTTCCATGTTAGGTTGAGAGGTGGCACGAGGACCGGAAATCTCTCGAATGAAACCTCCAGTTCAGCCCCCACGCAGTTTAGGGTTTAGGTTGGGTACNNGTACTGTCCCCCCTCAGTAACAGCTGGATAATAATTATAATATGGTTATATATAGCCCTTATTAGGACCCCTAATATAGACTGTTACTGGGTGGGGGCAGTACCCAAGGTTTAGGGCTTAAGCTTCTGGAGCCTGGAGCTGAGCACTTCAAAAAACCGTTCCCCTTCCATTAAGGTTAATGAAAGGGGGAACCCAGGGGGGGAGGTAGTATAGGAACCCCTAATTTCTCATAGTAATATCCCTATATAACCCCTATATACTCCCGCATAATCCCTATAGACTCCAAAAACTATGTTCCTCGTCAGAGGGGCTCCCAACACTACAGCTTGAAACCCTATAACTTATATCCTAAACCATAAACCTTAAGCCCATAGCCTCAAACCCTAAACCCTAAACCGTGAAGTCCCTAACCCGAAACTCTAAACCCTCTGCAGCTTGTACATCGGTCCCGTCCTCACAGGAAATCGGCACGATCCCCTTGTTGTTGCCATAACCTTGCTAAGGAATCCTGAAGGGGACTACATATAAGGGGGACCCATAACCACGCGCAAGCTCCCCCCGAGGGTTATTTCAATGCGCCGCTTAGGCGGAGTCCCCTGAGGCTTCCTTAACATTGCTGCGACGGGCACGCACCATAACATTAAGGGCAAGATGTCGCCAGCAGGGTAACAAAGATGCTGATGAGAAGTATATCGGTTAGAAAACAACAGAGCAAAAGGTACGGAAACAAGACTGCAATAACAAAACCACATGTTCGGGAAGTCCTTGTTTGTGCTGGAAGCAAAGCGACTCGGGGGACACCCTCCACTTGGAGACTCCAAGAGAATGTGGGACACGTAGGGCAACAAACGTTGCATAAATCCTACGAGGACCCAGAAATGAGCCATATACACAATATCATAATCTCACTGAGCAGTCTGCTTGCCATCGCTTACAGCCCCTAGAATGTTTGCCACAGTCCGTACCACTAATCTACTCACTGACTCTTCCTCAGCTTGCGAACAGTCCCCGACTGATACAGCACGGTACCCAACATGAACATGAAAACCCACATGAAAACCTTTTCAGGAGACAGTAGCATTTGCAGCGCAATGCGCACAAACTCCTGCAGTAGTAGTAGTAGTAGTAGTAGTAGTAGCAGCAGCAGCAGCACCAGCAGCAGTTGCAGCGCTGTTGGTATGACAGTAACATGAGAATCCTTGTTTTTGCGGGAATAGTATTCTTCGTGTTCGGATTAGTGTGCCACTAGTAATATTGCAGCCGCATTTTCACCCTGAGTAGTAGGTGAAGAGGATGATAGCAAGTTGGAGATGCCGGGCTGCTGTACATGCAGGCTCTTGTGGTGATATTGACTGAACATGGCTGCATGCGGTGGTACCAAAAAAGTGGTTGCAGGAGAGCACGGAAGGACCTAGCCAGAAGAACACTAGCTAGCTTGGGCAACAGAGGTGGCAACATGACAATCAGGACAGAAGCCCAATTGTAGGGGGAAGATGGATAACCTTGGGCTTCAGCCCAGGGCCTCCCGCCATGCTTAGCGGATGTAACCCTCAAACACTATACCCCTCAACCGTGCTTTCCCAGCAAGAGGCCGACCATGGAGTAGCTCTTCCCAGCACCTCTACGAGGGTTTACACCAAGACTGAAAAGGCAAAACTAAGACTTAAGCAGAAAAAATGGCTACTGCTGTAGTACATAGGGTTTAGGGCTTAATGTTGCAGAAATGGTGATTAGTCGGCAGGGGCTACAAGCCCAGAGCTCATGGTTTTGCAACGCTTTCGAGTTTCGGGCTTCACATTTGGGTTTAGGGATTTTTGATTGGTAGTACCGGATCTGAAAACTCGCCTCATTAGGCAAGGCAGGTTGCAAGTAGTCTCATATCGAGTTACTGTCTACAGGTTAGGCTTTGGGGTTCCGAGACCTGCTTGCATGCACAGACTTCCCAAGAGTGGGGGAAGATGTTCCACACAGTGCACTTGGAAATCACTGCATGCTCTGCACATGACCTCTTTATCACTCGTATCAAGGCCGATCCCCGATTCCTGGCGCAGAACCACAAAAACAATACCCTGATCCCTGAAACCTAAGCACCAAACTGCTACGTCTCAAGTCTAGGGACCGTTTTCAAACTCCCATAATCCCAAAGCCTGCTACTGAAGCCTTGAGCCCGGATGCCCCACAGTTGTCTGGCCATAGATGAAGCAAGAGGCAGTTTGCTGTCAAACAATAGTCCCCAGACCCTAATCCTTAAATCGTAATCCCTAAACCCCACAGCACCTAAGTCGCGGTACCCACTAGTTGTTAACGCCTGCCGTTTAGGGGATTGGAGGCCCTTGCTTGAAGACATGGCCACCTTAAAATGAGGGGACCCCAATATGAACCCGCAAATACTCTAATCCTGTTTATGGGGACCTTCAAAAAGGTACCCCTCCTAAGCCCTGAACCACAGTTTGTAGAACCCCTACATACTTCCTTTAAAGGTACCCCTAATTTTGGGAAACCCCCACCTGTCTGGCCATAGGCGAAAAGGCAGCAGTGGAAGCCATTCCAGGCATTGTCCAGCACCCGCTGGCCGAACCGGTCAAACCTAGTCTTCTTCAGGCTTAGAGTTTAGGGTTAGGAGGACCCCCCACCCTGTAATAGTGGTATAATAGGAATATAAGAGGACCCTACTATAACCATTGTTATCCCTTATAGTCACTATTACTGGGTGGGGGGTCCACCTAAGTTTAGGGTTACGATTCCGGTTCGGACTCAGATTTGGGAGGTTAAGTATGTCAGAGGTCTCAAACTAACCCTGAACTCTAGACACTCCCCCAAACTAACATGGAAACTCATATAGCCCCCTTTTAGAAGGACTGTAGTCTTTATGGGCCCCTTTTTGGGTTTCCATGTTAGTTTCCGGGAGTGTAAACCCAGACCCTGGGCCAACAACCCTCCGAACGTCACGAACTAAACCCTAAAGCCAGGGCTTGAGAGATGCTGGCTCAGAGGGGCCCCGGCAAACGCCTTGCGATGGTGGGTGGAGACCCTGAAATCCACGGAATACTGCAGCTCTCAACGCATGAGCGGTAGTTTCCATACAAGGAGAAACGACCCCCAAATACTCCAACCCTCATCATGGTAACTCCTAATTTTGGGAACCCCCAAATGACATCAGAGGAGGGCCTGGGCTAGCAGGGGTCCCTTAAGGAGCCCTAGGATAGACCTGCATAAGCCTACAAACTGGAGCCGAATTATCTACCCCCCTAATATAAAACCCCCCCCAACCCCCTCTGATTTTAAATACTCTCCATGATGTGGTATGTTATAATATATTGGGAGTATCTAAGATTAGTGGGGTTAGGGTTGAATATTAGGGGAAAAACACAAACCAGCGAACCCATGCAGGTCCTCTGTGCGCGTGTAGTTGTGTACCGATGCGGACTCGACGCGGGCTTCTAATACCCTACCAGCTGTGCTTGATACTGAAACCCTGTATCTATGGGTTCAACTAGTACCCCCCTCTATACTACCCCCCCCCTGGGTCCCCCCCTTAATTAAAGTTATTTAGCTAATTAAGGTTAATTAAGGGGGGAACCTAGGGGGAGTAGTATAGAGGGGGGTACTAGTTGAACCCATGATGTATGACTGGAAGTACCTTATACCTTGAGAATAATGATACTCCAACATATTATGCTCATTATACATCAACAACATCCCCAAACCAAGATGGCGAAGTCCTTCTGCAGACAGTAATGGCAATAGAACCAGCCGTTCAAAGAGCATTAAGACTGGCCATAGACGGACATCCGCACATCTTCTGAGGTCAGCACACATATCTCTGGTCCGCATACTTGCCTGGGTATCGAAAATATAGTTCCAAAACTACTGAGGGCGTGAGTTCAAGATTTAGGTTCTGAACGCTCTAAGGTAGTTGATCAAAAGTCCTGTTCCCCAAACGGTCACCCTTTTGCGTGTTTTGGCATTCCATAAAACTGGGCAATGTGTATAAGAGGGTAGACATATTAATATGCATGAGCAGACGTATGAATATGTGTTTACAGATATGTTCTCACCTACACAAGGGCTATCCTTCAAAGTATGGGCCCATTTTGGACCGCCCTTTCTAGCACAGCACCTCCCATTTCAAGGTATATACAGGAGACAAAGGGGAGACCTCCCACGTGCAGGGATTAGTCCTAGTGTGGACGAAGGGATTCTTGCACGACTCGAAACACCTCATACCCTAGGAATCACAACATCGCTGGGGCGTAGGCAAACCTTGTAGGTTTTGTGTTTGGGACACCCCTTGATCCTGAACCCGAACCTCGACATTAAACCCTCAACCCACATCCCCAAACTCAAGACCAAGGCCAACCCCAGCAACAGGCCTCAAGATCACGATAGGGGCCACCAAGAACCCCTCAAGAAGGGACCTCTGATTTTCACCCTGCCCCCCCCCTCCTCTCCATGGATTAGGTAATTCCAAAAGGCACGG